TTTTCTTTTTTTTTTTTTTTTTTTTTAAATTTTTTCCATACATGTATTTCTGTGTGTATGCAATTAAAGATATAATCGAAGAATAACAAACTCCATCAATGATATTAAAATTATTAGTATCAAAGCTATCAAAGTTTATCTCGCTTATTCCACGAATAGATTATTTGAACTAAAATTGTTTTCTCCTTTTTTTTTACCCCTTTTAACTTTGTACAAATAATTGTTTCTTACAGTTATTTTGTTATTGTTGCCGTTCAAGGAAATATGCCTATTTCTTTTTTTTTCTCTTCTTTTTTCTTTTCCGTACTTTTAATTTCTCAGACTTTTCAATGATGAATTTCGTACCACGTACTAAGTAACAAGTTGATTTCATCAATAAGTTTCTATGTTAATCGTAGTTTTTAACAATGGCAAATTTTTATATTCGAGAGAGAAGTTATTATTCGAAGAATTGCTTAATCACTGTTGATTTGATTTACTGAATAACAGTCGTTTCGTGTCTCTTCATTGTCAACGTAGCAACAACGAATTCATATTCCGAGTAGAAACACGATATCGCGAATTACATAAGATTAAAACGAGAAGGAAGGAGGGAGGGGGAGCGGAGAGGGGTGTGGGGTGGGGTGGGAGGGGGGAGAATATGAAAAAAGAGGACGAAGAAATGTAATGTACACGTAGTAAATGTAGTCTAATATAAAAAAATAATTATAAAAATAAAATTATTTCGAGTAATGTAATTTTTTTTTATGCTCGCACCAAAGGCCAATAATGTGTAATAATCGAATATCGGGGAACGAATTTGATAATATTATATTTTGCGAAGTGGAAAAAAAAAAAAAAAAAAAAAAGTTAAGAAAAGAAAATGTAACGATATGGATGCGTGTATAAGTTGAACGCAAGCATACGCAAGAACGGAACACTCGGTGAAATCTCGAAATTTCAACGGACAATGAGAGAGATACTAAGATTAAATATAGTATTATATAATCTTTCGAAAAGATCGACCGAAGTGGTTTAAGTACTTTTAAAAGTACCGAAAAATACACGTACACGATAATATATTAAGAGACGCAATGGCCTTCAGTCTTACAATAAAGTCAAATAAAACGAGATGAGATACGATTAAACGTCTTCAATGTAAACGTTGTATAAAAAAAAAAAAAAAAAAAAAAGAAGACAATCAAGCAGGTAAAGTTGCGCGAAAAAGAAATTATAACAATGATAATAAAAAAACAGTATCAAAAGGTGCGTTAAAAAAAATTGAAAAGTATAACAACGATGAGGAAAAAAGAAAAGTTGATCTTGACAGTCTAGAAAATATCCACAGCTTTTTTTTTTTTTTAAATGCGTACTCTCTTCAATCATGATATTTATAATATATATCTATGTATATATTATTTATCATTTTACTTATGTATGTATATTTATATTTATATTCATATTTATAGTTATATTTATATTTATATTTATATAATGTTATTAATGACAAACGGTGCATTTATGTACACTTAGTCACAATTCCTGACCCTCGAGAACCACTTTTAACACAAAATATGATATATTGTTGAATGCTCGATTGAATGAAATTTTCAAATTGAAAATAATCCAAAGAATTGAACGATGTAAATGCAAATGTATGATGATTCCTTTTCTTTCCTCGTTCTTTTTTTCTTTCTCTCGTTTGTTTTTTTTGTTTCGCTCGTTAAATTCTAATACGAACGATAATACAACAAGGTGCAGAAAATTATCGTATCATTATATAGAGAAACAGATAGATTGAAGCCAAAAAAATGCCAAAAACGAAAAGAGATCTCATTCGTTCCTATGAGTATATATTCGTTATTCGGTATTCGTGCAAACACACACACATGTATTCTATATTTTTATAAATAGAATTTTTTTGCTCTACCATTATCGAACAGCGCTAGAACGATTCTACGCTGCACGATATCATGAGAATTTCGAAATATAGAAAGTATATAAACAAACACATTGTTTATTGTCCTCATAGACTATTCACTTGTAAATCTTTGAATCGCAAATAGTATATATAGTATTATATCTCGAAAATTCGTATCGTTGTGAAAAAGGATTACGAAGCATAGGATCGATCACGATCGATGCACAATTAACAACTGTTTTTGGCATTGATTTGGCGCGTTACCCGTGCCGGGGATCATGATCCAATGTATATACATGTACGTATGTATACGAAGTTTCGTTGACTTTACTTAGGTTTTTTCCTTTTTTTTTTATAACAACGCAAAATATGATTTTATATGATACAGATCAGAAACGAGTATAATTATATCAGGAGTGTAGCGAGTATATCGTATTATCGGTTTCGATCGATTCGAACCGAGTTGAGAAACAGTTCAAACACGTTTTTGGAAAAATGCGTTTAAGCGTTTAGATAGTTTAACAGGCGGAAAAATTGTAAAAAAAAAAAAAAAAAAAAAAAAATAAGGCGAATTATATAGAAGCCTAAAATGGAGATTTGTACACAAGGGTTGTATCGAGGGTTCGATGGAATGGATATACGCAAATCCGACATACAGTGCTTCTAATTAATTAAATTAGTTCGCGTAGAAACCTGCACAATATCTTTGTGCATTTTAATTGAATATAGGCACCGTTTCCTTCATTTCCTTTCATACTTCCTTCATTCGATACATTACTCGCATTATTCCCTTCCCCCCTCCCCCCCCTTTTTTTCTTCCTCTAATGGCATCGCTTACAAACTAACCTTAGAACAATCGCCTTAATAATTAATATACTTAAAATTATAATAGGTAATGAGAAGATCCCTATCGTGCGTAATGGATTCAGCATGAATAATAATTGTCGATTTGGCAGTATGGTAATTTTCTCGTAGCTCAGCGGAAATTTACGTCTCTGTGAGAAATTTTCTTATCGTTCCTTATTATTTACCAATATATTTTCCCTATTTCTTCCAAATTTCTCGATATGTTTTGTGTCGCCATCCATAAGTACTTTTGGAACGTGCCACGCATGCTCTCTTCTCAGCTTTTTTTTTTCTTATTTTTTTTCTTTTTTTTTTTTTTTTTTTTTTNTTTTTTTTTCCGTTCGTTATTAACTCTCGCCTTCGCAGTTCCTTAGAGTATATAATCCCTTTTTAAAAGTTCATTCCCAGTGTGTAATATGGAAGCACTGTTCTCTTCTCCGAAACGAACAAGAAATTGTTTCAACTGTTTTCTACGTAGAACGAAATATCGGTGAACGGTGATCGGGAATAAAACACGCGATCGTAAAATAATAATGCTCGTCGGTTCGTTTCTCGCTTATTATTCTTATCGTTATTTTAGTCTCATTGCAAAAGCAAATGTCGACGTGTGTTTTCGAGAAAGTTCTCGCGGGAGATGTGTGTATAATCGGAAATTATCTCTTCGAGTTTGGATATGTTTGAACGAACATCATCGAATCACTTTCAATCACGAGCTGTTTTCCGAGCGCATATTTCGTCTCCGATTTTTCTTCGATTTCGCATCGATTCGAGAATATTTAATCTCTAATGCGTGTTTAACCACGGTGTATATAAATAATAAGTACTTACACGAGTGATGTAAGTTACTATTCGCGAGCGTGTGTATTATTTCATTTTTTTCGAACCATAAAATCGGTGTTAAAATAATAATTTGTCAATTGCGAGGATTATTTCTACAAATATGATTGTTTTCGTACAAATATTTGATTCCATACCGTTTATATAATCGATTCCAAACGATTTTTCTTCTTCTTCTTCTTCTTCTTCTCGATCTTCTTCTCTCTTTCTTTTCTTTTCTTTTTTTTTTTTTTTCGTTTCTCCTATTTGGAAATTTTTGAATGGAAATCGGTTAATTTAACGCGCGTAACCGCGCCGATAAAAGCGAAACTCGTTTCCGCGTATCTCGAGACTTGTCGCGACACCATTGACTATAAGATATTTGGTTACTACTTGGTTGTACAGTTGCTCGACAGATTAATAATTTATCGCCTTTCTACTGTATTTGTCATTGGAAGGTACTACGTATAGTACGTTTTGCCGTACGTGGAAACACGTGGTACAGGCTTTATATCATACTTACAAACTTACATACTTTTTCTCAAGTCAATTAATCGGTAAAATTAATTAAACGCGGCGCACTTTTGCCCGTTCCCCGTCCCTCTCGTTCCTTTGTCGATCTCGTCTGTCCCTCGTCGTCGATTCCCTTTCCTCGCGAGTATCGGGTTGTCAGTTGGCGTAATGATCGAAAGAACCCAAATACTCCAAACTGGCGCGATAACAGAATTGATATTGATCCTGCGAAAATAATATAATATAAAATAATATATATATATATATATATACGTACGATCGTTTTTTTTTTTTTTTTTTAGACGATACAAAATTATTGGAAAATTCAAAGATTGGATCGCTCAAAGATTACAGACCTCGGTTTGAACCATGGCTGGTCGTTGGGTGCGCAATATTCTCACTGTTTGGAAAATATCGACCACCCCCTCGTACTGCATGCGTTCCAACACGATGCTGAGAGTGATGAAAACGCCGGTTCTCCCAACGCCGGCGCTACAATGCACGGTGATCGGCCCGTCCTGGCCGAACTGCTCCTTCGTTTTGTGCACTTGGCCGATGAAGTCGATGAACCCGTCCCCGGACTTTGGAACACCCTGCTCGGGCCAATCGATGAACTGGAATTGTCTGACGGTACGACTGGCCCCGTCCCGGGCATCCGTCACTTTGAACTCCCGCAGAATGTATTGGGGCATGTTGTACTCGGCGATCGGATCGACCACGAAGCATTGGTAACGGATCGACCTGTCGGACGGCCAGTACTGATGACACTTCTCCCTGCCCATCTCCTTTAATTTCGTCAGCATGACAACGATGGTCGAGTTGTGCTCCCAGAGCATTCGCCAAAAATCGTCGGTCGTGTCGCAAAGGGGCCCCTGGGTGGCTATGTAAGCGCCTCGGTATCGATAACCGTCGATCAAACTCGCGTTTATGTAATCGGATCCTTCGATGTTCCGTTGGGGTTGGAGGCAAACTCTGGTGCACTCGTACGGCAGGATGTGCACCAATCGATTTTTGTGCTTGTTGCAGGGAAGATTGGCCGAGATGAAACGGGACGAGTCCACCTTGATGTTGGACAATTTCTTGAACTCCAACTCCATCCCGGTGATACTCTCGATCTCGGGCTGCATCAATTTCTGTATATGGGAGTGCAAGTTTCTGGCAGGTACCTCGGTGTTGCCGCAGATCACGGCCTCGTAAAGCGCGTCGTGTATAAATATGTACTGATCCTCGGTCTGGACCATGTAGTTCCTCTGGGCGCGTAAACAAGTGACGTGGCCGTATATGTCGATCATTTTCTCGTGCTTGATCCTCTCGAGCATCGAGTCGATGACGATGAAGCAACCGGTCCGCCCGACCCCGGCGCTGCAGTGGACGATCAACGGGCCGCTGTCGGCCGGGTTCAACGATCTGACCCTGCGCAAGAATTGAAGGAAGGGGGCGGGATGCTCGGGCACGCCGTGATCCGGCCACGCGGTGAACTGCAACTGCTTTATCTCCCGCCTCTCGGAGTAGCCCGCTCGCGATAATTGAAACGTTCGGATGCAATAGGTGGCCAATTCCTGGACATCGGTGATCGCGATCGTCATCAAACCGTAGGTCTCGGATCCTCGGCTCGGCCAATACTGGTCGCACTTTATCCTCGTCCTCTCCTCCAGTTTCGTCATCATCACGATCGTGCTCGACCTCAACTCCCAGCACATCCTCCAGAAATCTCCGAACGTTTCCTGGAGCGGGCCCTGCGTCGCCACGTACGCGTTCTGCTTCCTGTATCCGTCGCAGTAGTTGGCGTTTATGTAATCCGTCCCCGACATACCGTCGATCGTTTGGAGAATCACCCTCGAGTGGTCGTACGCGATCACGTTCGCGTAACGATTCTTCGACGCGTTCACCTCCATGTTCGAGTGGTCCCACGTGAATTGTTGGCCGGGCTCGATCGACTCGTACTCCTGGCTGAACTTGAGATTGTCGTTCGCCTTCAACCGTTCGATGTGATTGCCCAGCTCGGTGATCGGGATCGGCGGATGGGACACCATGCCGGGCGTTTGGAAATTCAAACGGCGCATCTCGACCGGATCGGATGGGGCGTGATTCGAACTGATGTCGGCGGGTATCAATGGCCGGGTGACGGCCGCCTGATCCGGTGTTTTGCACGGTTGTCTTCGTCTATACAACACAGTATATATATATATAACAAGATCGCGACAACGAAGGCCTCATACTCGAATACTCACTTTTTAATGACGAAAAGAAGGACGAGGAACACGCTGACCATTAGAGCGGCTATTATCGGCCCGACCACCCACACCATTCCCGGCTCTTGCCCGCTCGTTTTCACCGACACTTCCGGATTTCCATCGACCGGGGTGTTGGGATTGGGACGTCGAGGTGGCTCGCCGGGCGGTACTTCCCTCATGTCCAGGGACAAGTATTCGGAGAAAGGGGACGAGGTGTACAAATGCTGGAAAGAAAGAAAGAAAAGAAGGAGATACGACAATTTAGATTAGACTCGTTCTCTTTCGTTTCGTTCGTCGAAACGGATGAACGGACCCCCCACCTTTCTCGGCGTATCGACCACGGCACGGACGAAAATCCTGTATCGTTTGTTCTTCTCGAGTCTACGATTCTCGTAACCGTCGTATATATCCCCGCTACCGAGATGGAACGTGTACGGAATATCTCTGTGGGGGAATTTGGCCGCAATGTACGGGGCGTTCTCCCTCTCCTGCTTGGCCCCCTTGCCAGCGATCATGTCCTCGGTGAGCTCGTCCGGCTGCTTGTCGGCCGTCGACTTGTCCTCGGGCACCACGATCAGGTAATAGTGGGAGATCGGACCGTACTCCTCGGACGCCTGGGGCAATATCACCTGGATCTCCTCGCCGTTCACCACGCCGTAGAAATCCGGCTTGACCATCGGCTTGGGGGCCGCCATTTGCGTGGTGATGGTGATTTTCGCAGGTGGCCTGTACTGGCCGTCCCTCGGCACGGCGCTCACGTTCACGTTGTACGTGGTGAACGGTTGCAGCTCGTTTATCGTCGTCGTGGTCACGCTCGGATCCAACAGGATCTGCCTACGGGGCACGATCTGGGTCTGCGTGATCCCCTGCGAGTCCACGAACTCTTTCACCGCGTCGAACGACACTTTGTAGTTCATCGGGTTCAACCGTATCGGCGGTTTCCACGAGAGGGTCATCGAATGGGTGGACGAGTCGGGCGCCCTCAGATCCAGGGGTACGTCCTCCGGCTTCACCTTCACCGTCACCTTCTCGCTCAGCCTGCCCAGCCCCGTCTTGTACCTCGCCGCGACCGTGATCGCGTATTGGGTGAATTTCTCCAAGTTGACCAGATCCGCGGACTCGGTGAGGCCGATCGTCTTTTGCTTCCACTCGTCCAGATCCTCGACCGCCGTCGTCGTGTAGAATATCTGGTAACCGAGGATCTTGCCCCGGTTGGGGACCGGCTCCCACCAAACCTCCACGCTCGTGTCCGAGGTGGCCACGGCTTTCACCGACATCGGCGCCCGACCCATGTCCTTCTCGGTCACGATCGTGATCTTCTCGGAGATCGGCCCGCTCCCTCTCGAGGTCCGCGCGATCACGTGGAACACGTACTCGGTGTTCTCCTCCAAATTCGTGAAAACCGCCCTCGTCTTGGTCGTGTTCCGGTTAATCGTGGTCGAGTGATCGTTCTTCTTGTTGAATTGCACGTCGTAACCGATTATCTGACCGTTCCTATGCTCCCGGAGAGGCATGTCCCACGTCACGCACACCGTGTCCGGCGTTTGGAAGAAGTAGGATAAATTGGTCGGGGCGCCGGTGGGCAATCCTTCCGGGCTGAACCAGTACCGTACCGTCTCCTGCCCGAACCCGATCGCGTTTTGTCCGGCCACTCTGAACTCGTAATCCACGCCTCTCTCCCCTGCGAGACAAAAAGGAGAAGAAGAAGGGTTTTGCGACGATCGATCGAAAGGAAGGGAAGATCGAATCGAAACTTACCGAGATCGGTGATCTTGTACGTGTGCTGATGGATATCTTGTATAAATTCCTCCTTCAACGTTTGATTCTTAATCCCGTACCTTATCCTGTAGCCCAATAGATCGCCGTACGTTTGCGTGGGTTGCGACCAGTCGAGCTCCAGCATCTCGGGATCTCGGGACAAAACTCTGGACAAAACGCCAATCGATGAAATCGATTCGGCGAGATTCGACGAAGAGAAGAAAGAAAGAAAGAAAGAAAGAAAGGATAAAACGTGCGTACTTTACGTTAACGTGAGGCCTGTTGGGCACACCTCCGGGAGTTCTCACGTGAACCGGCGGCGAACGATCGCCGTCTCCCTTTCTCGTCAGAGCGGCCACTTGTACCGAGTATCTGGTGTCGGGTTGCAACCCCGTAATGTTCACTTCCAGCACGCCTTCGTGCACGTCGCGTCGTATCGGCTCGTTCAACAGATCCTTCCCCTGGAAAAAGAAACGTACGAAATCTATCCGTCCATCTATGCGTAGTCGAGAACTCGCTACGAAGAATCGCCTGCTTGCTCACCTCTTCCCTCACTTCTTGCACGTGTATGTGATAACCTCTGATCACGCCGTTTTGCTCTTTCGACTTGGGCGGTTTCCATTCGACGTGTATCGCCGTCGAATTGATCGGCGTCACTTTCACGTCTTGAGGATCACCCGGCACTGGAACGCAACCATCGGTTAATTCGTGCGCTTCGACGCCCCGAGCCTCTGTGTCACGCACACGCACACTCGCAATCGCACGCTCACGTACGCACGCTCACACTGAGAAAGAGGGGGCGGGGGATTAAACTATATATATATATGATAGAAAAAAACCTGAAAAAAAATATATAAACAAATGAATAAGTAAATAAATAAACCGAAAAGTGTAAAAGAAATTTAAGAAAAAAAAAAAGAAACAATAAGTTATTTATGCGGGGATGAAACTGTACGTTGTCCGTCCAAAGGAACGAAGAAGCGAGAACTAAGAAACACAGGTATATAGCAGCATGAGTACAAGTGCATGCGTATTTTCTCGAAACGAATAGATGCGAATAAATGACAAATAAATAACAAACTGGATACTCTTTATGCGGTAACGTAATATAACGATAGATATTTTGTCCGCTGTTTAATTAAACATGTCAAACGGTATAATCGGTCCGTTACAACGTTCGTCGTTCGTCGTTCGTAATAAATAACGAAAGAGAAGGAGAGCAGAAGTTGCAAAAAAGGAACGAAAAAGAAAAAAAAAAAAAAAAACGGTAAAACGAAAGCGTCGTACAGCGATTGAAAAATCGTGCGAGAAACGAAATCATACGAAACGAATAGAAGGGAGATACGTAAATGAACGATAAAAAAAATAAAAATGGAAGAAGAAGAAAAAGAGAAAGAGAGTAAGAATAAGAGAATAAAAAGAGAAATAGAAACAGATAGAGTTAGAGATATATATAGATATATATAATGTGTGTGTGCGTGTGTGTGTGTGTGTGTGCGCGCGTGAAAGAGAGTGTGTTTGTGTGTTTTGCGTGTATGAGAGAGAGAGAGAGAGAGAGAGAGAGAGAGAGAGAGAGAGAGAGAGAGAGAGAGAGAGAGAGAGAGAGA